GAAGCAACTGTGGGTATTAATTATGAATTTTACGAGATTCCTTGCTTAAGCGTCCCAGGCTTCCAAGTTCTAGCTTTTCCTTCCGATTCTACATCTGCTTTTAACTTGATAAGTTGTAGGAGAACGTTACTCAACATATCGGAGACAGCGGTATACGAAGATATGTTGTATTACCAGAGAGGGGATGTTCATTTGAGTTGGTCCCAACCAGATTGTAGTAAATGTGAAGAAGTAGGCAGCAAATGCAAGCTGAAGAATGATAATAGGACACAGGATGACACAGAGCGTTATGGTACCACCAAGAATCAAAGAGGTATGCTTTTACATAAATGTTATCATGACTCGCATGTGGATTCATGAATGATATTTTGGTCAATCCCAAACAAACTGACGCTTTTTAGCCAGTCTTGACTTAAAAACTACAACCTTATACTTTTAACTATTCCACAATGTTATGAATACTCATTGCAATGCTCACTAATTTAGCTGTTTTAATTTTGCCTTGTTTTAAGTTGTTAAAATTTTTCCTGACTTTAGTTGTTCAATTGCCTTAGTGTTTGTTCTTTTGGTACTTTGGTTTTGACTTGCTTTTATATGGAATCTGTCTCTTTGTTTCTTTGTTTCTTTCTTCCTTTTATTTTTATTTATTTATTTATTTTTGATTTGATAAACACATCAAGCTGCTGATTGTTGAAACGCTTTGCAGTTATGCGGAAAATGCTATTGGTTGCGGGCATAATCCTAGGTTTCGGTCTATTTATTATAATTCTCGTTGGACTTTACCGTGTGCACTACTCATATAGATCAAAGAAAGAGGGCCAACTCAAGATTGAAAATTTTTTGGAGGATTACAAAGCACTCAAGCCCTCAAGATATTCTTATGCTGATGTCAAGAGAACAACATATCAGTTCAAGGACAAACTAGGAGAAGGTGCTTATGGAACTGCTTTCAAAGGAAGGCTTTCCAATGATGTTTTGGTTGCTGTTAAGGTCCTCAACAATTTCAAAGCAACTGGAGAAGAATTCATTAATGAAGTTGGATCAATGGCCCGAATCCATCATGTCAATGTCACTCGCTCGATTGGGTTTTGTGCAGATGGAAATAAAAGAGCTCTTGCTTACGAGTACATGCCAAATGAATCATATCTTTGCAACCAGAGACCAAAGTTGTTCCCTCAGTTGGGAGAATCTTCAAGATATTGCAATAGGAATAGCAAAAGGAATTGAGTACTTGCACCAAGGTTGTGATAAACAAATCCTTCATTTTGACATCAAGCCTCACAATATCTTGCTAGACCATCACTTCAATCCTAAGATCTCCGACTTTGGTCTAGCAAAGCTGTGTTCCAAAGAACAAAGGGCTGTTTCTATGACAGCAGCCAGAGGAACAATGGGATATATTGCGCCTGAGGTACTGTCTAGGAACTTTGGAAAAGTGTCATATAAATCAGATGTTTATAGTTTTGGAATGCTATTGTTGGAAATGGTAGGGGGGAGGAAGAATATTGACACCACAGTGGGGAGTACAAGCCAAGTTTATTTCCCAGAATGGGTGTATAATTGCTTGGAGAGAGGAGAAGTGCTCGGGATTAGAATAGAAAATGAGGGGCATGCCAAGATGGCAAGAAAACTTACAATTGTTGGACTTTGGTGCATCCAGTGGTACCCAACGGACCGACCATCAATGAAATCAGTGGTTCATATGTTGGAAGGAGAAGCAGACAGTTTGACAATGCCACCAAATCCATTTGGCCATGTAGATGGAGCGCAGACAAGTGCCAACATCCCTAGGAGACCAATTAACAGAGAATTAGAAGTAATCTCTGAATTAGAATGATGGAAATTCTTTCTACTCTACACTTTTTTTTTTAATGTTTTCTAAATAATTGTATTACAGAATGAAATTTATAATAATTGTGCTAAAGTATGAAATTTTTAATAATTATACCATATGAATCCCCTAGTTGAGGGAGAGTTTCGATTTTTATTTTAATCTAGTAACAATTTTAGTTAACAATGCAAGGACAAGATATTAATCTCTTTGTTTCAATGAAAGGCTACAATCTGAAATGGATGCATCAGAAAAATATGAAAACTGTAAAACTATTAGAAGGCAAAATGTCCAGAGAAGGAAAGCAACATCAGGCATATGCAAAAATCTAAAATCACGACTTCAGAAGTAAGGAGGAATTTACACAAACACATAATCGGGGAGCGCAGGGGATCAAAATTAATCCAGAAAGCAGAAGCCTCGACAATAAGAGGCGCACATACAAAGATTAGTTGTACAGAATTCCGAATTAGGGAGACCCAATATTGGGTCGGTACCAGAAACTCGATTAATTCAGATATTCACAACATCAACAGAAAATAATTGTACAGCAAAAACTTAATCAATTTCTCATTTCGTTGTAAATAAATTACATCAAATTGAAAGGGACGAGTATTGTACCTCAAAGATCAGATTACAAGCAACAAGGCACTCAAGAAATTCTTCTTCCCCCAGCACCCAAGGCTCTGGGATCTCCTCCTTTTTTTTCTCGGCTCGATTTTTTTTTTTTCCGTCCGTCCCCTTCTCTCCGATTCTCCCTCTCTATTTATACAAAAACTTTGAAAAAACCTAAGACTTCCCTCAGATTGCTTATTCTCTCCTCTTTTTAGCCCTTTGATTGCTCCCCTGTTTTCTTCACCATTGATCGGACGGCACAAAGTTGACCCAGTACTCTACCGACGAGCATTGCTCTTTCTTCATGAAAACCAAAGGGCGGGAGGGCTGCGCTTTGTCTGATGTGAGGTTGTCGGAGAACGAGGACCGTTTGGTCGGCAAGCGAACGGGAAAGGGAGAGCGGGAAACCAGATCTGGTTGAGGTTTTGCCGAGAAAGGAGGTTAGGGCTCAACAGCCGTTTTGGGATCAATTTGCAATTCAGTCCGTAAGTTTTGATTAAATGTCATTTTAGTCCTCAAATTTAGTTCTTGTTTCATTTAAGTCCCAGCGAAATAGAACCTCCATTTTAAATTTTCTTATTTTGGTACAAAGCAACATTATTTAGATTTTAATCTCAATTTTTCTTTAAACAAAATTTTCAAGTTAATTTCTCACATCATATTATAATTCAAAAATTTTAAATTTAGATTTAAAGCATAAGAATTTATGAGAAATTAATAATTTAGAAAGATCAAAATTTTAGCAAAAATAGGTTAAAATCACTTTTTATCCCTTTACTTTGACAAAAAAATCCATCCTTAATTCTTCTACTTTAAAAAACTCTTTCTTGGTCCCTAAAATTTAAAATCTAACCCCTTTATCTTTTTGTATAAACTAGCTGTAACACCTCTCTGTGGGTGTAGTATTTGACTCATCTTTGTAATTGCTCAAGTTTGAACAGGCTACAATTATTAGATTTTTATAGGGTAGGTTTTTATAGAGTAATGAATATAGAAATATGAATCATGACTAAAAAATACCAATTGTTATAATTAAAAAATAACCATACTTAACTCTAAACCATGAATGAGATTAAGTCACAGGTAAACATTGAGCACAAATACACATGGATAGGTAAATGCAATACCCAATCAGTATGCATTAAACAAAGGCACCTAAAATGCTTGCAGTTCTCTACTATTCCACAGAAAGAACATTAAACATCCAAAAGAGTACCTTACGAAGCTAGGAAGACCTTATAACATGATGAAGCCATAGCGTAGAAATTTACTACTGGACCAGATAATAATACCATGCCAGCTCACATGTGAAGGTTTGATCCTAAAAAGATTGTAATAGCTAGAAATTAAAACCCCTCCTAATACATCAGAAAGCCATATAATCTTACCCTCCTTTTCTGTAGAATTGTTGCTGAATTAATTGAGTGATAACTGGATATCATCTAGCAAAACTATCAAGTATATGCCAGCTATTACCAATCCACATTCCACAACTCAGCTACTTGAGTCATGCCCCTAAGCTACTAACTCGTCAATAGAAGACACTTGTGTTACAACTCCATTCTCTTTAAATTCAGAAAAGCCAACAATTATTTAACCAAATTAATGCAAAATATTTAACACAAAGTACCTAATTTCCTCTAATTAACTTTTCTATGTTTCATTGACAGATTTCTTAAACTTAAACTCAATCAATTAGGATAACTCCATTCTTCAAAACTAAATCAGTGACAACTATTAACTTAAAGTTAGGAGAATATTCAAATTGAGTTCAAGAATTACCTTCTGATGACAGTCTCTAAGAACTGGGTTCTTGATAATGAATATATCACTGGCTACACTACTCTACAAAATTTCAAAATCAAAACTTTGGTAACAACATGAAGTAACCAATGTGAAAGAGCAAATGATATGATAAAACTGTTTTCTTTTCTCTAGAACTACCAAGATTTATTAACCTAATGGTCCAAAAAATCCCAGACTTTAATGTTTCATACAAATTTCAATGGGTATTCCAAGAGTTTATATCTTTACCATATACATAATATTTCTAAGTTGCTATCAACCATTATAAGGCATAGACTAAATTTAAAATCAATTAATTTCCAAAATCAGAACAAATGGTTCTTTTGCTCCTCGAGGTGGTATCTCTAGTTCATCCCAAGCCAGATACACCATATACAGTAGCACTGTCACCCAATATTACTTTCACCAGTTTTAACTTCCAAGACATAATGCTACTGTCTTGCTTTCAGACTTTACCTAAGCCAATATAGTGGAACATAGATCCCTTTTTTTATCATAACCTCAGTCATAACATTATCTTTATTAGCCCTATGGTAATATAAACCAACTACTCGATAATCAAGAAACTTCAAATTTAACTTAGGCAAATGACACAAGTTTTTCAATAGAAATCCAAAAATGAAAGAGTTTCATGAATACATAGCCTTCAATCAATAAGAAAAATATAGTTAAATACAATTAACAGTTGACTCACATGAATACAAATAGAAGAATAAGAAAAAATATTAATTGATAAGAATTGAAAAAATAAAATAAGACTCAGCAACAACAAAATCTAACTTTTCAAAATTGTTGCAATGATGGATCTCTTAAATCTAAAGATAAAAGCAGAATAAATTGTGTACCCACCTCAAAATAAGGAAAATAGGAAAGTCAAAAGAGAAATCTTTAAAAGAAAAAAAAAATTCATTGGCTGAAAAAGAAGAATCAAAGGAGAAATATAATACAAAGAACATAGCTTATCAAGTTCCCCTTTCCATATCTAAAAGAAATATCTGATCAATTTAGTAAATTTTCTTACACACAACAAATCAGTTAAATAAATTAGAAAATTGCAACATTAATGGCTTATCATTTTCCCAGTTTTGCTTGGATTATCATATTGCAAGGAAGGAAAATAGAAATAGTTATGTTAAAAAAAAAAAAAAGAAAAAAGAAAAAAGAGAAGAAAAGAAACGGTTCCTATTAGCAACTAAATCATGCAAAGTATTTGAGAAATTACAATCTTCATCTAAAGATTTGAAATTTAATACCTGTTAATTACCTTATGATTTCATCTCTCAGCTTTATGAAAAACATGTAAACTATCTGCACAAAGAAATTCATTAAGATAAATTAATTACTTTCTTTTGATGAAATTAATCAAACATATATGAGATAAAAAATATATTTTAGAAGTCATTGAAAAGAATTTATTTAAGAATTTACCCTAGCACAAAAAATAAATAGTGCACCTCTTTCTTTGAAAAAAGAAAATATAAACTGAAGGGAGGGGTAAAATTAGAGATAAAAAAAAGCATAGGAGACATGTTCCTAGTTCGTGCATCTAAGGCTAAGAAGGCATATATCACAAAGATAACATATTAAACAGACTCAAAGCCATTAGACTATGCCTGAAAGGTTGAGAACTAAAGGGACGAAAATTTTGGTTGAAAGTGAACTTTCACCAGGTATTCTTCAAGGCTTCAACCATCAGCTTATAGAGAGCAAATCGACCTTGATGGCAATC